TAATTTGGAACAAGCACGTTCTGTACGTTCGACACTTGTCTACTAAATTGACCACGCCCGATTTCTAAATTTACAGAGACTTTCAAAATATTAACTTTACTTTTAAACAAAAATATTACGTTAATAAAATATATTATTCAATAGATACTATAATGAATTAGGCAAATATTTATACACGGGTACTTACGTTTAGAGCTTTTGGCTCTAGTGCCCGCTACCTCATTCAATTCCTATGCTGTCTAGGTAAAGTACTGCACGTACATATAGGTGCTAGTATAAGCTGTGTTCACTCTGGCCGCTCTGTTCAAAGTGACCAGTGCGCCAGGTAAAACTACCCAACGCTAGGATTACTATACATGGACAAAACGTACTGGACAAACAGGTTAACAACACATTACATCACATCCGCTCAGTACCTTACTCGCATTTACACGTGCTATTTCCGCGCGCGCGCTAAAGGTTTTGCCTCAATGCGTTACGTACAAAATTACACGGAAGGCTGATTTCCGTTACATACGAACGCGTATAGCTAAATACCATAAATACATTAAAAGTAAAAATGACAAATGACACTACTACACATCGATTATGTACACTGTAAGTTATTTATTTTTAAAAAATCACAATAAATGAAAAGTATTTGTACTTTCGGGTAATACAGGATATAAATAAAAAAAATCACATACTGGGGCAGTCTCTCATTTACGTTTTTATTTAGAGGCTCCAGACCATATGTAAAACAGACTTGTTTTTGGAAGAAGAGTGTAATTTACCATAAATTGGTGACTGTCACTTACTTTTCAGGTATTAGGGGTTATACACTTTAATGCCAAGACTTTAAACCAAATACGAGAGGGGGAGCGCGCGGCGCACCATAATAAAGTCAATATGACATATCTCCCGGGTTTATTAGATACAGGAAAGGAAAGCCTTTTTGGTAATTTTACAGCTAAGATAAGGTGACATACAATGGAGGAATACTGTACCATAAAAAGCCATGGTGACAAGGTGTCATGATGACAAACTCGTCGGGTCATAATGACAAACTCGTCGGGTCATGATGACAAACTTGTCGGATCATGATGACAAACTTGTCGGGTCATGATGGCAAACTGGTCGGGTTTTAGCGGCCATGCTACATTTGTTTGTCGGTACCTTATTTGGTGTACTGTGTCATATATGTACTCCAAACACGATATGACGAGGCTTTACGATAATTTAGTTGTCAAGTTCATACCGGGTATGTCCACCAAGACAAAGCTAGTAAGCTAAAGAAATGGTCGATGATTGGTCAGGCGGTACTGCGTTTGTATAGCTTCTGCTTAAATTTGAATCGATTGAATAAATATACATGTAGCACCGGGGCTCGTATTCATGAAACTGTTCTCATACTCATGCACAGGTTCTGTGCTCAGACCAGCTTTCTTGTAACGCACTTAAGTCATGTAAAACCATCGAAAAGTAAATTGTAAACATTGTAAACTTTAGTTGGAACTAAATGTCTTGATTTTTTTTCCAATTCATTGAAAAAATGAGATTTTAAATTGATTATAACTGAAACAAGAAATTAGGCTTGAGCACAAAAAAACATGATTGAGCATGATAACGGTTTTATAAACATCGGCCTGTGCCGAGTATTTCCTAGGGTTATTAGCTTAATCACTCGTTAACGACTTTTACAAATATAAATAATACATCAGTTAAAAAATAGTAATTTTGCTTGCAATACAGGTGTGTGTATACTTTGTAGTCAAGTAATCGTTGTATTAATTAAGTTGCTACGAAAAGAATTTTTGCGCTAATCGTTGTTTAAGCTATTACCTTTTGAATCACCGAATCCAGATATTGACCCTACAAGAGTCAAGCTAATAAGATTAGTAAGATGCCTCGCATGCTATCATGGAGTGCACTATGAGGATTGTTCAGTTCATTTGAAATCTACGTTTCTCCCAATACTACTGCGTATGAAAAATACGCGTGTCCAATGTGGTACATCAACGACAGGTACGTCTATCCCTTTGTGGACCACCCAGTGTTTTGTACTATTTAGACGTCAAAATCAGATGACAGCTTTTTATGACGGCACAATTGGAAACGCGTCAAAACGTCGTTTGGCTGACTGTGGCAATCTTGCCGTCGGCAAGTGAACCACCTCAAGAACATAGGAATCGTTGTACAAACTCGCCCTAAATGTCTTGCATGAGTCTTGCACGTATTTACATATGATAGACTCTAGTCGGAACCTATCTTCATTAACTTTATATATAGTAATAGTAGTAAAATATGTACATTTGCAAAACAATCAAAAGACCCACAATTTGCAGACGACATATTGGACTGCTGTCCCACACACAAAACGGCATACAGGATACGACACAGAATTTCAGCTCTATTTAAGTTAGAGAACAGATCTCAAGTTTAACACCAAACAGACCAATACTATGCCGATGAACAGTACATGAAATGTCTCATTCATGCTGGAAGGCCAGTCATTAGATGAAGTAGAAAGCTTCAGGTTATGTATCAGTTTTGTGAGCCGGACAGGCGAATCAGCTGAAGATGTGACGATTGAGAACAATGAAGCACGCCACTTTTACAACATACTCATGCCCGTTTGAAAGAAGCGAAATATTCTCACCAAGACCTGGATCAAGGTTTCCGAATCCAACGTGAAGACAGCACTGTTGTATGGCTCGAAGACCTGGACACCAATAACCTCGAGCAGAAGATACAGGGATTTGTCAACAACCGTCTCCGAGAATATTGAAAAAACTGACAAGACAGAATTTCCGACCAATGTTTTTTTGAGAACACTAAGCAGAAACCAGTCTTCACAACCTGTCAAAGATAGGACCAATTCCGTGCCGGAAGCAATCCAATAACCACAGAACAGGCATCCAAAAGACCGTAGAAGACTATTTAGATATGAAAATTAACTCTGGAAGCCAGATTGCGGTTCATGTCGTTTGGAAAAGCGAAGCTGGATATTTTAGACGGAACCAGATGAAGTGCAGCAGTGAAAACCATATTAATACTCGTAGACGAGTGCCTCAAAGTAAATAGTAAGACGACAGTGGGAAAATGTCTTTCATTCAAGTGATGTTTTCCTAATGACTTAACAACTCATATCATCCGTGTTGTCGCTATAACTTCTAAAACATAAAATATGAGTCGATCCTCTTACGGGGGATATTGAAAATTTTATTGAAGGTGTAGAAGTTGATATCAGAATAAGGTCTTGCCTTTGTAATGACCTCAAATAATATACCAGAGAGTATATAAATAATGATTGACTCCTTTTCCAACGTTTACATGGGATTTCGGTGAAAACTGCAATTTTAAATGCCTCTATGTTTGAAGAAAACGTTCTACATAACATATAATTAAACCAAGAACATTTTGAGGAACACAAAATGCACTATACACCAATTTTACTTCAAAATAAATAAAACTTTCATCACAGCTTGTATAATAATTGTTTATTTCTAGACGATGTCAGTTGTCTACATTGTTAAGGCAATAGGGGTCACATTTCAGAACGCCGGTACTGGGCTTTACTAACACAGCTATATTTTGATGTCATTCATGGTCAAGATTTAAGAAAACATATATTTCCAAGACAGGAAGTAAATTGGACTGTAGCAGAATGTAGAAATTTGAGACCTCGTTCAATTACATGCGATTTTTTCCACGTCACTGGAACCGTACTTGTAAAATGTTATATATGGGAATGTGAATAAACAGCATCAAAACTACATTTCACAATAAGATATGAGACATCTTTTAAGGATTGAAAAAAAATATTAGGGAGTTTCACACATACATTATGAACATTTTTTTTGTCCGGAAAATCTTCAATGTTTACACAATATATAGCGTTTCTTTCAAGAAAACTATATTAATTTGATATAAGCCAAAAGACGAAAAGACCGAGGAGAGGCATAAACAAAGAAGGACAATATACACCATAACAGACGATGTGGCACCTGTACTAATATCAATAAAAGTTGATGCGGACACGAATTATTCAGATATGGTGAGGTATGTGTATGTGGCGTAGCATAGCTTGTATCTACACGAAACAAGTTCTTTATCAGGTAAGTGTCTATATAAAACATGTCTACTATGTATAGTGTCCTCATAATTAATCCTAATATATTTTAAGTTGTCTGTACATTTTATTCGTTGGTTAATCCTACTAGTCGTCAGTAAATAGGGGTTGTGAATTGATTTTTAAAACATTTTACGAAATGATAAAGCTATTACATTCCCTGATAATGGTATTGACACCCTTCCATTAGTAACAGTATATCTGTTTTTAAATGTTAAAAGCAGATACTTAATGAACAATCACGCTTTTAATGTGAATCACTAATACATCGAGTTCATTTCCTTCAAACCCTCTGAATCATCCTCGGGGAAACAAGATCTTTTTTAATTCATCTTTAATCGATATGCATTTTGTTCTCTTATAAATAATATTTGACGTCATTTGTTTGTGGTATAACTACGACTACCAACCACGATAAACGTGTCAAGTCTATAATTACATTTGGTATACAATCTTATCACTATTTCTAACTGTATTAAGTTGTTTTTGGTATTGGCCCAGGAATGTGGACCATATACTTGTAGTATTTGTTAATATTACTCTTCATCTGACGTGGGCTTTATGTAGGATTTCTTTACGAGATAAGCACAAGGTTTAAGTATCGTAGACCATCACTCTAAGCTATTTAAACCCACACAGAATTCACTGACGCCAAAGTGTTTCGAGATTTTGATTAAATTTTCATGTTTTATTTTGCTTTTTAAGAAATTTTTATATCATTACATAATCAATTATATTTATCTCATTGAGTTAATATATAAACAGGTAAATGGAGACCATGTGTTTTTGTCATGACTCCTTACAGCAAGGAATTGACAAATGAGCAATGACCAAATCAATAGAAATGTGGTTAGTTGGTTGGTAGCTATGCTGTAGGGGGTCCCTCAGATAAAGCGTTCGTTGATACCGGACCAGCACTCACCGCACCACCCTAGACAGGTGCTACATGTTAATCAAGTAACACTGATTAATTGATTCAGGACCAGGTAGCGAGATAGCAGACGACCGGGCCTTGTTCACCTGTAATCTAGACTATATCCCAGAGATCTATCCATAGAAAGTCTGTATGATTTGTGACCGTGGCGGAATTACAACCGGATAGAACTACTACACAATATTGCTTTCTAGCTTTTCAAAGGTAAGTCACTATATCATTAAATTACTGCCTATTTTGTAGGACAAACGGCTATATATCTAATTTATCACAAGGCAGTCGAGTGTATTTGATGCATGTGCATTTGTTCCAAATATTAATTACGTCCGTCAAGTAAGTTAAAAATGAGAATGTATATCCAAAGGCAAAAATTCATATCTTTCTCGCAACATGCTTCTCTTCGCTGTATGTTTCCATTAGTGACAGCCTCTAAGTATTCTTTCTGCGACAGCCACTTGAAGATAACTTTATCAAAACACTCCACTTGAAATAATATACCGGCACTTGGATGGCACGTTTGTCAACATCGAAAACACTGGTGCCTGCTGAGGAGGGGAAGTACGTGCTTACAATGATTGGCGATCAAACAAAGACTAATCTCAGTCATTCATACTTAAACACACTCCATTGATGTCTATCAGGCTACAAGTATACAATAGATCTCGCCAATTGTTGCTTTCTGTATTATGCAACAGAACAATAACGTGCCAGATATCTGAGTTCGTAATGATGAGCCAACTTAACGGAAACTTGCTATACTTAATAGGTGTTCGGTGTTAATTACTTAGAAACTCATATCCCTAAGAAAGCTTACTGGTTTGGTGTCTCCTCATTTCCTATTGTTGTCTGAACTTTATCTTGATGTCTCTTCAGTTCCTGAGATAATGTTGATGTAGTACATAATTTTTCATTCGCCGATAAGATGGTTTTTTTGCGTATTCAGTATACAAACGTTTTCCCCATATATTTACCATTACCTTTAGTTTAAAAATAAATAGGACAAATATATATCCTATTCATGCAACGTTTATTCAACAAGATGTTCACAATTTTTCATTGTTCAATATCACATGTATGTTTGCACTATTAGATACAGTTTATACTCTCTGTACAACGCGCGTGTGACGACGTAGGTATTTTGCTGCTGTAGTTAGACAAGCACGGGCTACTTACTAAAGTTATAGTAGTATATCTTAAATGCTTTTATTAAAACGGAAAATAATAACATAAAAACCGAGTAGTGATTTATTTACGACGTTAAGGTCAGGTAAAGTAATCAGGCACAGAAAAAGTAAGACTACAAATGATTAATATCCCTTAGTAACAGTAGCGTATTTATCTTAGAAACATTATGTATTTTATGTATGGCATGACGCATACATCAGAGGTCAATATACACGGACTACTGGTATGGGAACACCTTTGGTACTCTTTGGTTACTCTTTGGTTAGAGAACGTTGTAAAGAATGACATTATCAATGGCCAGGTTAGGAAGGTCCCACAGAACAACATGTGTCCTGACACTACACAAATACCAGTGGCTGATATCATACTGTTCTATTTGAACCTTTGATATTTCATGTGCGTCTCTGAACATCATTTCCATATTAGGTTTGTATGACCGCACTTTCCTATCATCATGACAATCGAACTTACAGACAGTTCGTACCTATGGACTGCTTCATGGTCGTGACCTTGAATTAACCCTAACATCATTCTAACAGAGGTTTCCACAATCCTACCCATTTATCATATCGTGTTTTTGGCTGTTCCTTTTAAGTAGTTGCTCTTGTTATGCCTTTTAAAGTTATTGAGAAATTCCTTCACAATTTACAAGATAAACATTGCAAGTGTACATAAGGCTAAAATTTCTGCTTTGTATTCTTTATGTATAATTTATAATTCAACTCATCGTAAACAATACAACACAGAAAGATCAAACGTGTAATTATTGACTTTCATATAAACGGCTGCAGAATATTTAAGCTTTGATAAAATTTTCACAAACCATTTTTTCTTCTTTATTTGGATATTCTACAGTCAGTATATGAAAAATTGTCAAATTCATTAATCATTGTATTCAGGCAGTCATCGTGTGTAACGGACATCTCTTTAGAAAGGTTTTCGAAATGATTTACAAATTGAAGTTATTTTTGTTTGTTAATTTTGTGAATTAAGTTAGAGAGTCTCTAGTCGGTTATAATCCCTTTGATACAATAGAACTGACAATTTCACAACAGCACTGCCTCTTACATGTTTTATTTCTTTAGAAATTTGGTCCGTGTTATAGCTTTAGGTAAGTTTAGGTAACATATATTAATTATTTTCATATTTATATTATGATCGAATTTTAAATAAAAACATGAAATACATATAAAACAAGTACTGAATTTATGATAATACAACTTACAGCTCAGTAACTGTACAGTCCAACAAACACAATATCTTCAGAACAGTCAGGAACATTTATATTTACGAACACTACATGTACGGCACAATTGACTGAAACGGCTATGTTTGACAATAGGGTGCCTACAAAAATTGCGATTAAAATATTGTATGCATTCTACTGATACAAACACAGAAATGTGTACTGACTAAGGCGAACGACGAAAATAATGTTTTAATGACAAGATCCAAATTGTAAAAATGTTAAAGAAATATAGCATTTTACTTGTAAAGTCACTTGTCATTTACGTCTAACACTTAATTCCTATTTAATCATTTGAAGTGTTAAATCAAGCGTCAAAAATAATCAATGTATACCCTGCATACAAATCACTTATAGGGCCACGGGTCACTTTTGGTGGAAGATTATTTTTTTAAACATATCTAAAAGAAAATTCTTCTTCTTTGTGATAAAATTGCGTTTCTCAACATGAATGTAATCGGCTAATAAATGTGTTTACACACGACAAAAAGTAATGTGTATGGTTTCCTGAGTGATATGACACTAATTGGGCTTTAATCAATACTTGTTTGCATTAGACAATAATTCTGATAAGCGTTTTGCTGAAAGACGAGGTAACGAGAAAATTTCGTGCTTTTGACCACCTACAGCCAAACCGTATCCACACATGTCATCAATAATAAACACTTGTCCATTTAAAATTACGAGAGTTAAGCATCAAATTAAGATGGGATCTGTGAAGGCAGACAAAGTATTTTAATAAAACGCCCTCGATAAAGTTTTTGGACGGTGCAACCGAATCAGTATTTTGAATGGAAACGCAATAGGTTCACGTTTATCGAAACATACAAATGTTTCCCCCGACATTTGTTTTGGATTAGTGTCTCATAAGCCATATATTCATGGACAAAGTTTATTTTATCTGGATGGTATAGTTAAGATGAAATATTTCCCGTGACGCTTTGATAAAACATTTTGATCTTTCTATTTTCTGCGACATTTGTTTCGGATTATCCTGCATTAACCAAAGATACGGACCATTCATAATGGGGTATACTAAGAAATATTACTGTACAACGTATATTATTCGATAGAAATAAAAGTAAGAATTCCACAACGTCACTGAAGTTTATTATTAAAACGAACTGACGCTAAGAGGTACATAAAACGTAATTATTATTATATAAAAAATACAATATTCAGCTATATCAATTTTTAGAGGTTCCACAAAGGGGTAATCAAATAACAGATAAAGCATAATAATTCAAGCTACGATCAACTGATCAGTTGTCTAACGTGTCGCTTCTATCACATGATTTCCCTGTCTACCTGGGACTGAATGTATGACTGACAAAGGACGTGAATTATACGAATCTGTATCAGGCCAAAACAAACACTGACAAGGGTATTTATTTATTGATAGTTTACCTTGAATAGACGTTGGATAAAACACGGACGAAAAACAGACATTTTAAAACCCTTATATTGTCAGAACTGATTGCTGCAATTTTCGGTATCTTAATATTTGGTAATCTTTTAACGGTTGTATAAGAGAATGTTGGCATTTCCAAAAGTCAGTGCGGTTACTCGGATTAAAGCCGGCTACTTCAGTAGAGACTTCATGCCACTATGACAAATAGCCAGGTAGAAATCAATGTATAATCTATGATGTATGTGGGATACACTATCCCAGTGTGTTTACACATACCTCAGGTGTGTTATTGAGCAGTGCCTTGAATAGAAACGTAATCACTGCTATCGTTCTCACCTGACACAGTTAATCAGCAAAAGTATTGCCGTTGTGTGTGCTTTAAAAGCATTTAAAAATTGATATTAAGATTTATTGTTGGAATAATGTACATTAACTTGCTAATATATTAAACACAACAATTTTATTTCGTTGTTGGGAAACATTTTTGGATGATATTTGACTCACGTATATACATTTTGTATAGATTGGAAATCAAATATCACGAAAGAATGTAATTTGATACGTTTTAAATGGCTTAAATATGTTTAAGGAATACGTAAATGTTGTTTTTTTGAAATGCATAAATTGATAAAACTTGTGCAGTCGACACTGAGTAGATTATATCGGTTTCCTTTGTAAGGGAGATTTAATATGAAGGAGGTTTGTAACTATAAGGTTATGAGGCACATCAATTTATGTAATTATCTTGCCATATATTTCTGAAGTGCTAAGGGTCCTGACTAGGGTAAACGACCGGTATTTGTTTTATTTCAGTGTTGTTATTAGTAGTAAGCAAGTGACGTATCTTTTGCAAACATTCTTGATAATTATAAGATATGATCATTTATAACAGAACTACAAATGGATGCAGGACATAACCCTGTGGCACACCAGCCTAAAATTAGCATTGTTTTTTTAAGATTTCCTATAATAACAAATTCATTTCTATCAATTCGATAGAATTTCACCCAGTTAAAGATAATTCGTGAACAATAATACTATTTTAGTTATTAAAGCCATTTATTTTGCCTAATTCTATCGAAAGCTTTGATATATATATGATAAAACCTGTTTTCAGTGGTCTCCTTGCAGGTGGTCTATACATACAGGTTCAGTTAACATATGTTTTTCAATCGGGAGTTACTAAAGTTATCACCTAGCACAAGTGACCTCCTCACACAAGTGGTATCTTAAGACGGAGATCTATGTATGTCTAAAGATGATCATTTAATGCTTAAAACATTGTGATAACAAGATGGTAAACAGGTGAAAGGCCTTCATAAGAACTGATATCAAATATTCTTTGCTTACGATAAAAAGTTTGCAGATTGTTATAAAAGACCTTAAAATATATACGTTAAATACGTCTTTACTTCAAAATATTCAAGTCCGCCCGTTTTAAACAATGCAATTACTACTGTTAATTACAATTGCTGTTGGGGTTTACTCTGGGACCCTGACGATGGGTGCTTATCAAGTAAATTCAACAAGTGGAGGAAGATGATGAGATACTTTTTTGGTTTGCTTGATATTTATTGTATGAGTCGATGTATGTGTGGGCTGTATCAGTGCACACTCTAAAATCAAAGAATATTTTGGATTAGGATCAAAGTGCCCCCACTCTCCCACCCAATTAAGATCTTCCTTATATCATCCATAATTAAGACAGCTGAATACATGCACTTCGCCTTTATACGACAGAGTAAATTGATCATGTTACTTTTAATGCTAAAAGATTTACATATTTATATTAATTGATTCACAGGTCGTATTCACCAGAGCCGCTGAGTTCGATACCTGAGTAGACAATGAAGGAAAAAGAAAAAGCCGGACATGGGGATCACTCTAAGAAAGGCCAGGACGGTCACCAGAAAGATGAACATTCTAAAGGGGGACAGGAAGGGAGTCCTTCTATTCACCATAGAACCAGGAAAGATAGCCATCACAAACCCAGTCACGATGGAGGTCATCATAAAGGTCATCACCATGGTGACAAAAGCAGCCCAACGACGTCATCACATCCAATACGTCCAAGGGCGGGAACTCTAGTCCACCGAGATACTGCTCATTCAATAGTGTCCGGAAAGAGTGCTCACAACGCAGACAAACGTAGTATTGCCACGTCAGATGAAATCCAGCCAATGATGGGGATCAAACTAGAAAACACGTACAAGCTAAAGCCCGACTTCATTTTTTATGAAACACCAGTGAAACAAATCATAACGGACGTGATAGAGGCACAAATGACATTGAAAACGTACGACCCCGGGTCAATGAGTAAGCTTTGTGTTTTAGCGAGTGACATGATCAAAGAAAAGGTAAAACAACAGATGACTCTTCCGCGGTACAAGATTGTGAGTTCGGTAATGGTTGGGGAAAGAGGGGAGCATGATGCAAGTATGCTAGTGTCTTCCAGGTGTCTCTGGGATCAGCGGTACGACAATCACGTGTCTGTTACGGTACACAAATCTGGGTACTACGTCATAGGGATGGTGTTCGCCGTTTACGCAGAATGATATGACGGCACTTTTAGGCTAGTAATATAATCAATGTTCAGTGACAAAACATTCAAGAACTAATTTCATAAATAATGTGTTAAAGATAAAAAAAAAGTGCTGTATAATACTGCTATGTATTTAATTCTAAATAAATGTGTTTCGATTTTGTGTTTATATTTGTTTTACTCGAATATGGGTACAATAAACAGAATTACCAATACGTATATTTTCATCGTTCCATGAGAAATATGCATAATATATACTATATCCTCTTTTGAAGGGAATATCATCCATTAGAATGTCATAATATTATATTCGACCAAACAAATTGAAGGCGCTGAAGGATTGTGTTTCCACTCGGGTTGTACCCAGTTGTCATTGGCAACAAAAGGTTGATCCCAGGCTTGTGTCCCGTTGTCGAGAGCAACAAATGGCGGTTTATCTTGGCGGCATCCCGTCGTCAGGGGTAACGAAGGACTGTTTCCCTTGATTGTAAACCGTTGTCAGAGGCAACAAAGAACTGTTTCCCCGGAGTATAATTCACTGCTGGGATATTCACGAGTTATTTCCATCATACTATTGTAATTAAACATATTGTAATTCGATATCACAAAGAAAAATGTCTACTAGGCGTGATGTATAATGAACATATGGATTTCATAAACGAATATATAAAATGGTATCATAACGATGTCAAATATGTTAAAAAAGGATCATTTGTAAAACTGATAAATCCCACTAAAACATAAAGACAAAGAGAAAAATAAATTCCCAAACAAAGAAAATTTATACATTTTATGTTTTGGACGATATATGTCCTGAGTGATATCAAAACTAGATATGGAAGTGATTAAGTTAGAAAATTCCACTCAATGTGTAGATCTCCTTGATCTCTGCTTGACGAAGAAGAGCTCTGTTTCAATTTGTTAGGCATTTTACTACAGCGAAGAGTTATATTTGAAAGATATTGATTTTATTTCTTGTTTTCCAAAACAAACCTCAGATAGAGGGATTAGATCCACGAATCACTTGCTTATATATCAGGGAGCTACACTTTCAGACATGATAACTGTTTTCCCTTTTCTTTAACATAATTAAGAATTATTTCAATATGTTACAGTGACTGTCTTGGTATAAATAAAAGGAAATACAAATTAAACTGGAAAATTACTTAGTAATATCGGTATGCAGTACAAGGGTTGTGTGACTCTTCCTATACAATTCATATTTATGGAATAATTAAAATACTTGCAAACTATTTCAGGAATTTGAATCCTTATAAAAAGTATTAACAGCTTGCATGTTTGAAGGAAAAAGTAATCCAGTAATAATGTACTGTAAACCAGGAAAGTGATTTTCAATAAAGGTGTATGATAATTAAGGGCTCTGTATTTAAGATATTGGTAGTAATTAAAAAATCAATACCTTCATACTAGTATCATCAGGTCGTTCACTGTGAAATACAAAGCAGTTCTGCTTGTAAAAACAGAGAATCTGTTGTAGGAGAAGGTAAGGAATATTCCGAAAATGCTAACTTGGCTTATCCAAACAATATATCTCTCCAAAACGATTAGTTATAAACGCTGTTGATATATCAAGTCGATTCGACCCACGTCCTTAAATGACCCTAGCTGTTAATTGGAGACTAAACAAAATAAAACCAAACATTTGTACCTTAATCTAGAAGAAAAAAAATGACCGACATCCGGTCAAGTCAAAACCGTTGAAGTGAGACAGAAATATGTTACGAGATAAGGACTGAATTGTAGAACTCCACTGCATCCAGTACAGCCTATTGAGGTAGCACTGATCCTTCCCTGCTCAAGTTAAGCCATACGTGGAAATATGCTACCAAAACTCAAGTACTGCCACCAAGGACTGCTATTCCAGGATCTGAAATGTATTTTTCTAAGGTGTGTTATCATTTTGAAAGGTTTTCTATTGTATCGTTTCACCAAACCATTTTTGTTTATAAAATTGGCGATACTTCGCGCTATACCATTCTTTCATTCCTACAACAGAACGAGTAAAAGACAGAACATTACCTTATATTTTATTGTCTGCAAAGAAGCAAAAGATTTGGCACAATCATAAATTGGGAGATTTTGTTTTACCTACTAATTACCTACCTTTATTTAACTACCTTTCTAGATATTCAGTGAAAATCTTAAATCTAAAATCGATACTTTGCGAATCACCTAAACAATTGCATTTCTATCTCAGATATTTGTTTAATACTATCACCGTGAAAGTCCTAGGAACAATATCACAATATAAAATTCCGAGTTCACAAAAAATAAGTGAATAAACCAACAAATCAGTATCGACATCGATATACATTCATAAATCATTATTCTTTATGCACTGGCATTGAACTAAACGTTCGTTCCATTATACTTTATGCGCTGTCAATGGAACTTTTAACACCTTTCGATCATACTAATCGTTCTTTCCCTCATACTTTCATTCCATTGTACTTTATGCGCTGTCAATGGAACTTTTAACACCTTTCGATCATACAAATCGTTCGTTCCCTCATACTTTCATTCCATTGTACTTTATGCACTGTTAAGGGAACCAAACATTTTTTTTTTTATATTTTGATTGGTTGGCCTTGTTTAAGTGAATACAACTCATCCTTAGGGAACGAACATTCGCTATTTCATTTCTGGATTGAAATTTGTAAAGAGCAAAAAATCTTAAGTTTAAAATGCAACACTAAATAGCAAAAGAATCGAATGATTTTCGATTTATGTGCTCATGAGCGTACAATTCATTTTTAATGGAATTTCATCCTGTTTAAACATTTCTGGTAATGTGTGTTTATATCCGATACACCTTTCATAAAATCCAGTAAGCATATCATGAAATTTATTTACGGCATACAAAATTACTTCGACTGGCATTTTTTATGATGGCATTGTGTCCATTATAATATCTTGATAGACAAATTTGGAATTACATTTTTATATAAACGTTTTCTAAAAAACAACAACAAAGAGGTCATTTCACGCGCTTTGTTATGTATACCAATATTTTAATTTGATATATAATGCAGGCTATTTCCGTGCAATATTGCTGTTCAATAAAAACGATATAACACGTACAATAAACGTGCAAATGAGTCTTGTCACCGTTGGAAACAGGTTATATTCCTACGCACTACAACTTCTTCGTTTGTAAACAAAATGGCTGACCGAGTTTCTGTTTGCATTGATAGCAGAGGCAGGGGCACTGGGAGAATAAAATGAACAACGAGTTTAATAAATTCAACATTATTTAAACACGAGTGTTAGCTTCACACAAATTCAACACATGCATGTTCAAATTCCACTTGAACTCCTCCGACATACACACAATCAATGGCGAACACGTGTAACCGGTCAACCTCAGCAGTGTTCCAGTTTCATGACGGATTCCACATTTTCTGGCTCAGTGACAGGCGGAAACATCGATGTTCACATTCACCAACAACACCCTCCAAAGAAACGTGCCCGTGTTATAGAGAGTGACAATCACTCCAGTCCCTGTAAACTTTTAAAAAGTGCAGACCTCGATGTGTATTGTGATGACCTTTACCTTGGCAGTGCACGCGCTGTTGTGCCAAATATGTGACGTCACTGCTATTTTCGTAAACGCCAATTAGTTGAATGGTTTTCATATAAAAATGATTATTAATGTTGTTATGATAATTATTAAAACATTGGTTGATGAAGAAAACCTAAATGATTGTTTGTTCATTGAAAAGGTTCTCGGGAAGAAGTTTCTGAAACTATTTTTTGTGGCGCAGTGAGCTCAAACAAAATGCATGTAATGCGTCCTTTCGTCAGCCATCGGTACAATTTATACAGAGGAGACGTGTCAAGAAAAAGAGTGTTTCTCGAATTATATAATAAATAGAATCTAACACTCGTGTTCATGTAACATTGAATTTATTAAACTCGTTTAATTTCATATGAAATTAATAAACTCGTTCAATAAATTCAATATTACATGAACACTCATATGTCAGATCCTCTCTCTCTATATATATAATGGTTTCTTGCACAATTCAATTAATTTATCACATTATTTTTTCATTTCTCACTCTTCGCAGTTAGAGTTCGATTACATTTTTATATTGTGGTCTTGATATGTGATCTTGAAGTTACAGGGAGGATGAGAATATTCGGAGACCAAACTCTGTGTTGCTGTAGCCTACTGGTTCACTGGCGAAAATTATGTAACTAAACAGTCAAAGGGAAATAACTCTCACAAGCCCCTGATATTGTCGTGAATTCATGAACCATTTGATAGTTAGTTCAAATTATGTAAGACAAATAAAAGCATTTGGTTATAAAAACAATAGTTTCTGAAGAATGTTATTTTATATAAAAAAAAAGATCTTTCGAGTCGAACTTCAATAATAAAATCAGATGGGATAGGCGTAAAGGGCATCGCACATTTACATGTACGATCACACAATAACGCAATACACATGAATCACACCTATAAGGTGTGTCATATAAATCTTATTCGACTATATACAAATAACATAATATAAACACACAATCTAACAAATGATATTCAAAATAAAGGTATATATATCGGCCATGTTATAGGATGGAAATACAATGCATTAGAACTAGGATGTATGCAAGCAGATCATCTCACCATCCGTCTATGTGTTGTCTAAGCAGTTAACATGTTATACTAATTCTAAACACGATGTCTCATTTGTAATGAAGGTGGTAAATGGGGGGTCACCACATACAACTGCTGATACAGTGTAGTTATATTATTAAGCGTATCAAGAGACACCACTGTAAGGAACATTAAACCTCTGTTGACAGAGTGAAACTTAACGATGAATATATGTATGATTGTTTATATAAGGCCTACTATGGAATGTTAGTGTATCATTTAAATCGTTCCTTTCAGATAAACTAGATGCTGCTTGAACTATGGAATGACTCTGTAGATGTAAAGCACACTCCAAACTTTACATTGAACTAGGGGGAACTTATTTCATGGGAGGAGGGTAGAATAAGCTTCTTTTAATTCATATTGCATATTGCATCAACAAAAACAAAACACTAAAAAACATACGGAAAAATTGTTTATCAAGTAGAAATGATGTAAAATTGCTTAACCTTCTGCGAGGAATTTCATTTCAGCTTTCCATACCTCTATTATTTAAGGTACGATTCGATTTCCTTTCTGTATGTGTGTGTGTCTGTGTGTGTTACGCTCAAGGCATAAACAGGTCGTCGTAATAATAACCTTTTCCATTTTATGGTTTGTTGACACTACGATCGTAGATACGACAACTGTGTGTGACACTTTATGGATTTTTTTTTTATTTATTTACCTTCGTACACTATCTAAAAATGTGTGTATTTTTAAAGTTTGAATAGCCTTCGGCTTCCAATCGGTCGTAGGTATACACAAGCCGAATTGGTTAATGGAAGGTGCATGGTGTACTACAAATTGTTCAGTTGGATTTTTATGCAATTTATCAAAAGAATATTAAACTTAACAGGTCCTATGATATATCATTCCAATCGTTGGTTACTCTTAGAGAATTGTATGTTATGATTAGTCTCTAAACGTAATTCATGCTAATTATTATTGTGTAATTTACCACTACTTTGTGCGTCACTACGGACCGTGTTCATTTGCTGAATAAACACCTTTCAAAGTAAACGGAACAGAGTCCCATTTAACTCTCACAGCGAATGTTCATTTGTCCTTCCAACAATTGTCTGATGTGTCCGTAACCTGTTTCTCTGTTCTTTATCCTGTAATCAGATTAAAAACCCCTGGTAAAGTTACCGTTCTATTTCTCCTTCAAATATTCTGGATGTTCTTATAATATTTCTGTCTGTTTAACATCCTTTGTTAGCATGAGACTCCCTACTGCGTCCCCACTCTCTACTGGAGCTCCGGATCCCTACTGCGTCCCTACTCTCTACTGGAGCTCCGGATCCCTACAGCGTCCCCACTCTCTACTGGAGCTCCGGATCCCTACTGCGTCCTTACTCTCTACTGGAGCTCCGGATCCCTACTGCGTCCCCATTCTCTACTGGAGCTCCGGATCCCTACTGCGTCCCCACTCTCTACTGGAGCTCCGGATCCCTACTGCGCCCCTAATCTCTACTGGAGCTCCGGATCCCTACTGCGTCCTTACTCTCCACATGGGGTACCCGGTGTAACTTCGGGTTTACTCAGCAATACAAACATTTGTTTGTCAATATTTCTCAACGTGTTTTCTGGTCTTAGACGGCGATTTTGGCATTTCCGTGTATATCAGCCAATCGGAGTCAAGGATTGACTCCGACATAATCTTATAGAAAGTGATCTTCATGACGTTTCAACTGTTTCCCTGTATAAGGTCCGTCACCAGCTGAAAATCTGCCCCGTTCAAATAATCCGACAACTTCGATGCTGAAGGTCACAGAAAATGAATACACTTCATTTCACTTAGTCCCAGAGGTAGGGGTAGAGGGAGACTGACAACATTTCTTTGTGTTCATATACTTTGTATTTGGTGGCATAGCCATCTAAATCGGTTAGATATTAAGACAAATCTTCATGATTTTGAAACGGGCGTCCCTTTCAAAATCATGAATATTTGCCATCTAAACTTTACATACCAAGTAGTTTATTTTCGCTTCTACACGTATTTCGATATGTTTAACTGAACTTCAGCGTTTTGTCGAATACTACCCCGAGGACTTCGTTAGTTATTGATGTTTCCTGTGTATTCAGGCCGACCTGCTTTTTTGTTATTGAAAATGTATTTTGTTACGCCTCCATGATTTTACAAATAACTATCGCGTGCAATAGGAAGGTAAACGATGAGACTATACAGGTGATTGGTATAAGTAAGACGAGAAGACTATACCAGCGGTTGTGTAAGACACGGGAGAGGGATATACCGCCGGTTGTTCCAGACAAAAAACAGAGAGTTATACAGCTGGTGCGACAGACAAACAGGTAACACATACCTCTACAGTTTTAAATCTTTGTATACCTATGTTTTCCAAAATGAGCTATTTTAACATTTGTGTTTCCTCATGTTAATTGTAAAATTTTGAGCATTCCAACCGATTATATTTTAAGATGTATCGTACGCAGTGTTCCCCCATAGATATCTTTTATTTTGATTTTATCCACTGTACCAAGCAATGCATGTTCCACTTGTATCCTATAACTGAACATACGTCTTAACTTACAACATGATACAGAAAGTCATAAAATACCTGACACATGCATAGGTCTGAGTCAGCCTGTTGATCTGAATTGCATTATTCAAAAGGTTAAGAGGCCATGTACAGGGGAACACATCTACAGCCAGACTAGATTTTTAAACTTCCGTGTATGTGGTGTATTGCAGTATTCGCGATAACAATAGACGATTGTCGTAACGTTTTAAGTAACATTTACGTCCATCCCGACTCAACAAATCAGGGATGAATCGACGATTGTCGTAACGTATTAAGGGACAGGTACGTCCATCACGACTCACCAACTCAGGGATAAATCGACGATTGTCGTAACGTACTAAGGGACAGGTACGTCCATCCCGACTCACCAAATCAGGGATAAGCATACGCGTTATGTTTAACAATAAATAATGTTGTTGCCAAATAAATTCGACAAATACACATATAGTGATATATTTCACATGGTGCAATGGGCCAGTGAAAATAAAAATGATGTGCTGTTGTGTCTACATGTCACACCCAACTAGCTACGATATACGTCACCTAAACATAATAGATACACATTTTATTTTTGAATGCGTGTACCATGAATTAGTGTTCCAATCAAAACAGCAAAATGGCGTTGGTTTTTTGTACACAATGCATGTGCTTCTTTATAAAGAGATACGATACAATAGATATAGATAATCGAATGTCTCAAGGTACAAATGTAAAGCACATTGATACAGTCACCTGACTATTTTCTGTATCATATATTCTGGGAATATCTACCAGTTGTTAACAAGCATTTAACTATGACACGCACGTTTGAAAAAAAATGTTGTATAAACATACATTTTTTTAAACATGCATTTTATCCTTAAATACTACACTAGGTGAAAATAGCCTTGACGTAACTTTTGCTTTTTTATGGAGTCTGTTGAAAATCAGGTTGCAGTAATATTTCTCACATGACGCACTACCTGGTGTTTACGTAATCTTGTCAGCAATGCTGCATCTGCATGTTTCAAATCATGAACGCTTGAGGTATTCTATTGAAAAGGTTTTTTGTCGTGCTTCTGTGATTTTTAATCAGGAGTCACATCATGCTTACCTGTATACGTTCACAGAGAAAGCTAGAGGAAGGTGTGCCAGACTTAGGTAAGAAATAATCTATCAGTTCTTAGATTTTACACAAATTGGTTAAACTAGACATTAACCTATTTACCTGATTTTCAATTTTCAGCTCTAAAGCATTATCATATTTATTTTAAATTAACTCTACACTACTAGAATACCAAAAAGTGTCGCAAAGAACAGAGTACGCAAATACTCTAGTTATACACTTTACAAGCAAGAAATACGAAGACATTGGGAACACATTTTTAAGTCCAAAGTTTTTTCATTACATTTCGTTTACATATGTCCGTTGTATAAAGCGATGCTTGAACAACTACTATATATGGCAGTCAAAAGGTTGGACAATTCTTCTTTTTTAAATAGCAGGATGGGGAAACGTCTGACACACACAAGGGTTTGAGTCATTTTGCTATTGTGTAGATGCATATGTATTACCTGTTGAGCTATATCGCACCGTACATGGAATCCGGTTTCAGTACGTATGTTTAAATGTAAATACGTGGTCAGGAGGCCCTGAAAGGGGAACTCATCTACAACGAAACCTCCTTTAAACTTCTCTATCTGAACCGATAACTGCCTCATATTGTTTGTTTTAAGGGTATCTCTATAGCATAGACTTTACTCAGAACAATAAATGCGTTTCCCCCCTTATACTATTTGACTTGAAAAAGTGCATCATGTGTTGAGAACTGACAGTGAACTTATATTGTAATATGTAACCAAGGAATAACCCTGATTATGTTGGGTTTTACGACCACACCTAAATTCCGGAAAAACATGTGTACTTTAAATCAGACCGTAAGACCAAAATTACATCGCTACGCTGTGTTTTGCTTAATACATACATATTTATTACGTGTGACTATGAACTGTCTTTTTTCATTCAATAATACAAATAACCATTATAATACCCGCGCGACGAGTGGTTGAGGGTAAATTGTACACAGGTTTCTGTCCGTACGTTCTTAGGTGTTCTAAACGGCATCACCGCTCTACAGACTTCATTTCTTATCCAATTGTCACAAAACTTCAATCACGTTTTCACAAACATCATCATTGTACGACGTCGCGTTTCAAGCTTAGAAACTAGGTCACTGTTACTATAGATTGAATTTGATAGAATGTTTGACGTCACCGATCAACAGACTTTATTTCTTTTCAGATTGTCACCGATTAAAGACTTCCCACCCTTCGTAATACACATGTTTTTCTTGTCGTATTTTCGTGTCTTCATTTCCGTTTTGCGTATCGGGTATCCCATTACCGTAGTGTAAATTATAGTAACACCGGGTAAGCAATAGTACACGTGCGTGACGATGATATGTCAACACCCGATATCGAGACTTACTAATAACTTGGAAATCATGTGTAATCACACGTACTTCATAAATAATGCTTATGATACAAAGATATTAATTAACTCACAGGGAAACACTGACATACGATCAGGCGACTTCAAGAAGGTCGTATATGAGGCGCATGGAATGCAGACTGATGTGTTTTGTTTACCGACCTCACCTGTACGTATCACGTGCAAAATGTGAAAGTGTTGAATTTGACAAAAAATCAACTTTTCGGTACTTTTTACAAAATAATCCCAAGTTTATCGAAATGCTTAGATTTTCATTAAATCATCTCTACAGAGTGACATAACCATAATGTGAAACTTTCATTGAATTCGGCTGGTTAATTGCGAAAGGGTGGAGCCTCCTTAACAGACTTTATTTCTTTTCTGAATGTCACGGAAGTTTACACATGTGTTTACAAACTTCCTCTATTTTATACCCCAAAAGCCCATGTACACTAAGCGGTATATGCACAAAAGTCAATACAGCCTTGCATACAACATGGCTACAACCTCAAGCTATGGGCTTTGTATAATACTGATAATAGCCCTTTCTGTCTTCACAGTTGACATGTCAGTACGATTCAACTAGACTATATCAATCTATTTTTATGTTGAGTCTTGATATTGTCATGAGCATAGTTAGTCCTTTTTCGTAGTGGATTCATCAAGGAGCGGGTCCAGGGCAGGGCATTGGTAGGGGCAATGGAGTACAACAAGCAGCGGTTTTGTTTTTGTTTTTGAAACTTTTGGGGATTCACCTGCGTTCCAGCGTATAGGCAGCTAGGCAGCTACTCACCTAGGCAGCCTTCGCGCTCTGTCAATTTTTCCAAACCATGCCTTTATCTGATCGTCATTCATAAAATAACATCTAAAAGCCGTTCTTTGTACGAGAGTGACACGAAATGCATTACGCATTCACCGACCATCCAGTCTCTGTTCCTAAAAAGGAATACAGTTGATCTCAAACAAGGACGTAGCAACCCATCAGACAGAAATCATTACCCTGCACCTGATGTGTAAGACAGATTAAACGCCCTTTTACAAAGCTAGGTAATTTTATAAGTGTGTTGCTCTACGGTCTGGATAGCAAACACAATCTGTATCACTTTAAACGTATGTAAGGAAAAACGGCTTCCTTGTCTTGCTATATGTTTACCTGTTTCAATGGTCCGTGTCATATTTCGCCCTAGCTTCACCGCCGATTTTAAGTTCGAATCAGGTGTGTTTGATTGGAAGGTTTGTAAGGTTATTTTCGTTCCTACTCTTAAATTGTCATAAAAGTTATTATGTGTGTTTAAATAAGATTTTTGAAGATAACATCCGAATTAAAAACTTATCAAATTGTCAGAGTAGAAGCTATGTGTGTAGAGTATTCGGGCTTATAGTGAGGAGTAGTGAACAGGCATTGAAGACACTTGTCTTGTTGTAAGGAATAATTGACAGGCGTTAAAAAACAATTGGCCTATTGCTAGGAATAATAAACTGGAGTGAAAAGACACTTTGCTTATGACTAGGAATAAAGGCTTGCTTGAAAAGAAACTACTTCGCCTATTAGGAATAATAGAATGTAGTGAAAAGACATTTGGCCTATTGTTTGGAGTAATTAACTGGAGTAAAAAGACACTTTGCCTATTATTAGGAATAAAAGGATTGCTTGAAAAGACACTTCGCCTATTGTTATGAATAAAAGACAGGCGTGAAAAGACACTTGTCTACTTCTAATTGTAACAGACACTTGGCCACTGTAAAGAATATAAAACTTGTGTGAAAAGATACATGCCTAACGTTTAGGAATAATAAACTGGAGTGAAAAAACACTTATTTCCAGGAGTTAAAGACTTGAGTGAAAAGAGAATTGTCTTATTGGTAGGAATAAAAGCCTTGCTTGAAGAGACACTTGGTCTATTGTTGTAGGAATAATAACCTTAAGTGAAAAGACAATTGGCCTGTTGTTAGCAATAATAGGTTTGCTTGAAACCTGCCATGTTGTTAGACGTAATAGACTGGCGTAAAAAGGCACTTTGCCTATTGTAAGAGTAAAATGTATGTGTGTAAATCTTCTTGCTTTTCTTAAGGAGTAGAACGTAGACGAGAAAAGTCTCTGGGCCTATAGTAAGATTATTATTATGAGTGTAAATGCCTCTTAGGAGTGTAATAGCCTGACAGGTATACATCTGGGCCTATTGTTATAGTAATATATAGGAGAGAAATAAATATTACTAGTCCTATTCCAGGGACAGCGAATGTTTAGTAAAATTCTCCTCAACCACTAGATGGATTAACTTGATTAGAGGAGGCTGAGCGAACAAACTGTTAAAGTCAGTTACAAGACATGGATGTTCCCAAGCCTAGCCGCTCTCAGGTCGTTGAACTGATGAAAACTTACCTGTTGACAAAATAGCAATAGAAGGTCTATACATATCAACAGTAACCATGGTAATCATACTTGTAGGTATTGATAATCTGGTTTACCACCTGCTGACAATAATTACGGTAGATACAGATTATGTTTACCTAACTAACCTAAACAACAATATAATGTTATCGACATTATCATTATCTGATAAGAAGTATTTATTTATTTGTAGATTTGATTCAGCGAAAGGAAAACCATGGACGAAACAAAACACATCGAAAACGGCAAAATGGTTCATCCGAAACAAGAAGGTAGGATGCCCACATTCCCTATCTATACCTTAATATAAGAATGAATTGTAATACAATACATCATTAGACTTGCAATTATGAAAAATATATAGAGGATTTCTCAATCAAATGAGGATTATAACTTTGTAAAAATGCATATTTTGTATCCTTTGGAAAACAAGTTTTACTCCCTTAGACGTTATTTAAAGGTGTTTGCTGATTGGGGAACGTAAAATTTAACAATTTTATGACTTCTGGTGGTATGCTTGTCAGTGCTGTATAGAACTGCAAAAAAAATAATAAAAAAATACCAATCCCTTTGATGCGAATATTTCATATAGTTGAATCTCATAAAAATAAAAATGTCATTTTTTTTAAATTACAAATACCTTTGAGGCAAATATATTGACAATATGTTATTAACATATAAATGTACTTATCAAAATAAATTTATGCGTATGTATGATTTGTTGTTTTGCAGAGGTGAAGAAACAAACTGTACGAGATACAGTTGTGCTCATCCTGATTGTGACTGTAGCCATAGCTATAGCCATAGGAATGATAGTGTATCTAGCGGGTAAGTGACAACATTGTATTACTGCATTTGTGACAGTCGGCCTAGGTTCAACCATATCATTGATAGTGTATCTAGGAGGTAAGTGACAACATTGGATTACTGTGTTTGTGACAGGCGGCCTAGTTACAACCATCTCATTGCTAGTGTATCTAGCGGGTAAGTGACAACATTCTATTACTGTGTTTGTGAGAGTCGGCCTAGTTACAACCATAGCATTGATAGTTTATCTAGTAGGTAAGTGACAACATTGTTTTACTGTGTTTGTGACAGGCGGCCTAGTTACAACCATCTCATTGCTAGTGTATCTAGTAGGTAAGAGACAACATTGTATTACTGTGTTTTTGACAGTTGGCCTAGTTACAACCATATCATTGCTAGTGTATCTAGTAGGTTAGTGACAACATTGTATTACTGCGTTTGCGACAGTCGGCCTAGTTATAATCAGAGCATTGCTAGTGCATCTAGTAGGTATGTGACAACATTGAATATCGTCGGCCTAGTTACAACCACAGCATTGATAGTGTATTAAGTAGGTATGTGACACCATTGTAGTACTGTGTTTGTGACAGTCGTCCTAGTTATAACCATAGCATTGATAGGGTATCTAGCGGGAAAGGGACAACATTGTATTACTGCGTTTGCGACAGTCGGCCTAGTTACAACCACAGCATTGATAGTGTATTAAGTAGGTATGTGACACCATTGTAGTACTGTGATTGCGACAGTCGGCCTTGTTATAACCATAGCATTGATAGTGAATCTAGCGGGGAAGTGACAACATTGTATTACTCTGTTTGTGACAGTCGGCATAGTTACAACCATAGCATTGAGAGTGTATCTAGCGGGTAAGTTACAACATTGTATTACTGCATTTGTGACAGTCGGCCTAGGTTCAACCATATCATTGATAGTGTATCCAGTAGGTAAGTGACAACATTTTATTACTGTGTTTGTGACAGTCGCCCTAGTTACAACCATAGCATTGAGAGTGTATCTAGCGGGTAAGTGACAACTTTGTATTACTGTGTTTGTGAGAGTCGGCCTAGTTACAACCATAGCATTGATAGTGTATCTAGCGGGTAAGTGACAACATTGTATAACTGTGTTTGTGACAGTCGGCCTAGTTATAATCAGAGCATTGCTAGTGTATCTAGTAGGTATGTGACACCATTGTAGTACTGTGTTTGTGACAGTCGGCCTTGTTATAACCCAGCATTGATAGTGTATTAAGTAGGTATGTGACACCATTGTATTACTGTGTTTGTGCCAGTCGGCCTTGTTATAGCCTTAACAATGATAGTTAATCTAGTAGGTATTTGACAACATTGTATTTCTGTGTTTGTGATAGTCGGCCTAGTTATAACCATAGTATTGCTAGTGTATCTTGTAGGTATGTTACAACATTGTATTACTTTGTTTGTGACAGTCGGCCTAGTAATAGCCTTAACAATGATAGTTAATCTAGTAGATATTTGACAACATTGTATTTCTGTGTTTGTAACAGTCGACCTAGTTATAACCATAGCATTGATAGTGTATCTAGTGGGTGTGTGACAACATTGTATAACTGTGTTTGTGACAGTAGGCCTAGTTACAACCATAGCATTTATAGTGGATCTAGTAGGTATGTGACACCATTGTATTTCTGTGTTTCTAACAGTCGACCTAGTTATAACCATAGTATTGCTGGTGTATCTTGTAGGGATGTTACAACATTGTGTTACTGTGTTTGTAACAGTCGACCTAGTTATAACCATCGCATTGATAGTGTATCTAGGGGGTGTGTGACAACATTGTATAACTGTGTTTGTGACAGTGGGCCTAGTTACAACCATAGCATTCATAGTGTATCTAGCGGGCAGGTGACAACATTGTATTACTGTGTTTGTGACAGTCGGCCTAGTTACAACCATAGCATTTATAGTGTATCTAGTAGGTATGTGACAACATTGTATTACTGTGTTCGTGACAGTCGGCCTAGTTAGAACCATATTATTGCTAGTGTATCTTGTAGGTAAGTGACAACATTGTATTACTGTGTTTGTGACAGTCGGCCAAGTTACAACCATAGCATTGCTAGTGTATCTAGCGGGTAAGTGACAACATTATATTACTGTATTTGTGACAGTCGGCCTAGTTATAGTCATATCATTGATAGTGTATCTAGTAGGTGTGTGACAACATTGTATTACTGTGTTTGTGACAGTCGGCATAGTTACAACCATAGCATTTATAGTGTATCTAGTAGGTAAGTGACAACATTGTATTACTGTGTTTGTGACAGTCGGCCTAGTTACAACCATAGCATTGCTAGTGTATCTAGCGGGTAAGTGACAACATTGTATTACTGTATTTGTGACAGTCGGCCTAGTTATAGTCATATCATTGATAGTGTATCTAGTAGGTGTGTGACAACATTGTATTACTGTGTTTGTGATAGTCGGCTTAGTTACAATCATAACAATGATAATGTATCTAGTAGGTATGTGACAACATTGAATATCTAGATTTGTGACAGGTTAGCTAAAGCTTTACCAAATGATGCTGTATCTTGTAAGTATGTGAAACATTTTAGCAATAAAGGATCAAGTTGAAGGTATGTGGTCAGCCATGGTTCATGTTTACTTAGTACGGAAGTGCACCTATCTGGAACATCATGTGATGTGCTTGGATGTATGGGAACCATGAAAAAACCCGCATTGCTAATGCCTTCCTACGACAGTATATATTTGCAAACGACGATTATGTGTGGATCAATGATCAGCGATTCAATATAAAAATGGAAAATTAAATCGCGTTTTCACAATAATTTAATATTCCATAGTCAGAAATAATTGCGACGTTTAAATGCACATTCTTAACATTTTACCGCGCATTTTAGGATAAAAACTGTGTTTATAAGCAACTGAGTTTCATGAATGTTAAGAATAAACATTAAATAAAAATGTTCCGAAAACTCTATTTTATTATTTTTGTAATAGTCTGGTTTTATGTAACAGGTCAGACATACTGTTTACCAAATGCTGGATCTATCCAGTTTGGGATCATTACCGTTAGGCGACAGAAGTCAACTGAAAACCAACAATGCAAATATATCTGCTTTATGGTATTTTCCTTTTTTGTTGAAGGACGACAAAACACAAGAGAAGATGATGACATCTATATAATATCCCGAATGAAAGGTACGTATAAACATGTCTTATTTACTATACTAAGAAAAAACCAGTAGAATTTAAAACAATAAAATTAAAAACATAAAGTAATCATCAATATAAAAAATTGCTAATAAATACCATTAACATTAAACCGTAAATGTATTTAATTTTCATGTGTCTATACTTCAAAGTAGGAGAATGAATACTTGTATAAATATCGACTGTAGGATCATGGTAATTACAATGCCAAATAGGTCGGTTAAAACACGCTTGGAATTCTTTATATAAATTAATTATATTTCATTTTTTGTTTTTCTACAAATGACTTACACTACTGGCTACAGTAATAAAGGAGTCCGTTCTAGTATCACTGATGTCGACCCCAGAATGGAGCCCATATCGCCTGGACACTGCAGAGGCCATAATAGGCGTGACCCTAGGATACCCGGAGGCGTTCGAGGAACATAAGTCAGAGTACTTTGGCAAGCTCGCCAACATGAATATAGACCTCCTTGCAGCCCTAAAAAAGTACGTTTTGCTATCAAAGTTACTGTTTTATTGTATTTTGACAATGCATCTGTAAGCTTACCATTCCGGAAAAATTGGTCTTATTCATTTTTGCACTTTTTCAATGGTCTTTTTGTAAATAATTGATATATTTCTCTTGTTATTCGTTGTCAATTGTCCTTGCTTTAGACAATTTTTGATTTATAACTGACTTGATATATCAATGTTTTTGTGATGTTTGATGAAATGATGATATCACAGAATAACTCCATAAAAGGATATGATTTAATGAATCCCTATAGCTGTTGCATATATCTAGTAATTTAGCTTGGTTACAATATCATGTTATTATGAAATTGACTTTACAGTGATTCCGAGCTTTCCAATAACGTTTGGTCACGTGGAAAGTTGGCCCAGTACATTAGTGCCATTGTGGTAGCATGTCAACACGAGGTCGCAACCGCATACTACGGTACCGACAACCTGTTGGACATCCTTCAGAAACAGCTTCAAAGCTCAGTGGATTACTTCCGTATCAACAGATTCGCCCTATCATGGATGGCCCTCGCAATGTGTCAGCATAACAGGACATTTGACAGTCTGTATGAAGACATCCTTACAGCACATCCGGGCACCTATACATTTGGAACAGGTATTTTGATAAACAGTGTTGCTTTTCCTTATCCAATCTTACTGTTAGCAGTTCAATTATCTGTTCTAGAGATAAAAAAAACCCGTTTGGTTGTTCTGAGTGTTTAGCATGTTGCTAGGTAAAATCATTAATCACAAATGTATTATGCACTCTTTGAATGCTTTAAAAATGTTATCAAATTACGAAGAACATTTATGCTATGAATATTGTATAACTATATGAAGATAAACATGTGTAAGATGACATAAAACAACGCCTGAGTGTTCGGTTTAACAGATGAGGCCTCAATGATCACTATGGCATGTGTGTGCCTCAAAACCGAAACTTGCTCGTCTGCTGCCCAGGTCGCCGCTGATCATGTATCGATGGAAATTCAAAAGGAAAACAACACACTCAATGTGTACTCTCTCGGGCTAGCCGCACAGGTAAAGTTGTCGGACTCAATGCGTAATCTCCAGTACTGTTAACATACGTAAATATGTCATCCGCAATATGTTAAGTCCGGTTACAGGTAAAGCTTTTACTTTTACTCTGGTACTGAGCTGGTAAGCTGTCATTCTAAAAGTGTAAACTCTGGTACTGATTACATAGGGTAAGCTGTCATACTAAATGTGTACACTTTGGTACTGATTACATTTGGTAAGCTGTTATACTAAAAGTGTACACTCTGGTACTGATTACATAGGGTAAGCTGCTATACTAAATGTGTTTTTTCTGGTACTGATTACATTTGGTAAGCTGTTATACTAAAAGTGTACACTCTGGAACTGATTACATTTGGTAAGCTGTTATACTAGAATTGTACACTCTGGTACTGATTACATAGGGTAAACTGTCATACTAAAGGTGATGCTAAGTGCAGAGTGCGATTTGCGCTCTTCACAGTTCAGGTAGAATGTACAACAAAACAGGTTAGACAATTCTTACAATATGTACTGTCTTGTTCTGACCACACAAGTAAGACAATTCTTACAATATGTACTGTCTTGTTCTGACAACACAGGTAAGCAAATTCTTACAATATGAACTGGCATGTTCTGACCATACAGGTAAGACAAAGTTTTGAAAACTAACTGTCCTGTTTTTTCCACATAGGTAAGCAAAATCTTTCAAAATGTACAGTCTTGTTCTGACCACACAGGTAAGACGTTATATACGATATGTTTGTCGTGTTCTGACCATGCATATACAACGATACATACAATACATTTTTTTCTAAACACTCTATACAATATATACCGTGTTACCCTGACCACAAAGGTAGAAAACTATATATAATATGCACCGTGTTGTTCTGACCACAAAGGTAGAACACTATACGCAATATATACCGTGCTGTTCTGACCACAAAGGTAAAACACTGTATACAATATGTACCGTGTTGTTCTGACCACAAAAGTAAAACACTCTATACAATATGTACCGTGTTATTCTGACCACAAAAGTGGAGCACTATATATAATATATACCGTGTTGTTCTGACCACAAAAGTAAAACACTATATTCAATATGACCGTGTTGTTCTGACCATAATAGTAAAACGCTATATACAATATGTATCGTGTTGTTCTGACCACAAAAGTAAAACACTATATACAATATGTACCGTGTTATTCTGACCATAATAGTAAAACGCTATATACAATATGTACCGTGCTGTTCTGACCCTAAAGTAAAACACTATATACAATATGTACCGTGTTGTTATGACCACAAAGTTAGAACACTATATACAATATGTACCGTGCTGTTCTGACCACAAAAGTAAAACACTATATACAATATGTACCGTGTTATTCTGACCACATAGGTCGGGAACTATATACAATATGTACCGTGCTATTCTGACCACAAAGGTAGAACACTATATACAATATGTACCGTGCTGTTCTGACTACAAAGATAAAACACTCTATACAATATGTAACGTGTTGTTATGACCATAAAGGCAGGACACTATATACAATATGTACCGTGCTGTTCTGACCCTAAAGTAAAACACTATATACAATATGTACCGTGTTATTCTGACCACATAGGTAGGGAACTATATACAATATGTACCGTGCTATTCTGACCACAAAGTTAGAACACTATATACAATATGTACCGTGTTGTTCTGACAACAAAAGTAAGACACTATATACAATATGTACCGTGTTATTCTGACCACATAGGTAGGGCACTATGTACAATATCTACCGTGCTGTTCTGACCACAAAGGTGGAACACTATATATAATATGTACCATGCTGTTCTGACCACAAAGGTGGAACACTATATACAATATGTACCGTGTTTTTCTGACCACAAAGGTAGAACACTATATACAATATGTACCGTGTTGCTCCGACCACAAAGGTAGAACACTATATACAATATGTACCGTGCTGTTCTGACCACAAAAGTAAAATACTATATACAATATGTACCGTGTTGTTCTGACCACGAAAATAAAACACTATATACAATATGTACCGTGTTATTCTGACCACAAAAGTAAAACACTATATATAATATGTACCGTGTTGTTCTGACCACAAAAGTAAGACACTATGTACAATATGTACCGTGTTATTCTGACCACATAGGTAGGGCACTATATACAATTTGTACCGTGCTGTTCTGACCACAAAGGTGGAACACTATATATAATATGTACCGTGCTGTTCTGACCACAAAGATAAAACACTCTATACAATATGTACCGTGTTGTTCTGACCACAAAAGTAAAACACTATATACAATATGTACCGTGTTGTCCGGCCACAAAAGTAAAAAACATATACAATATGTACCGTATTATTCTGACCACATAGGTAGGGCACTATATACAATATGTACCGTGTTGTTCTGACTACAAAAGTAAAACACTATATTCAATATGTACCGTGTTGTTCTGACCACAAAGTTGGAACACTATATACAATATGTACCGTGCTGTTCTGACCACAAAGATAAAACACTCTATACAATATGTACCGTGTTGTTATGACCATAAAGGCAGGACACTCTATACAATATGTACCGTGTTGTTCTGACCACAAAAGTAAAACACTATATACAATATGTACCGTGCTGTTCTGACCACAAAGATAAAACACTCTATACAATATGTACCGTGTTGTTCTGACCACAAAAGTAAAACACTATATATAATATGTACCGTGTTGTTCTGACCACAAAAGTAAAACACTTTATACAATATGTACCGTGTTATTCTGACCACATAGGTAGGGCACTATATACAATATGTACCGTGCTGTTCTGACCACAAAGGTGGAACACTATATATAATATGTACCGTGCTGTTCTGACCACAAAGGTGGAACACTATATACAATATGTACCGTGTTTTTCTGACCACAAAGGTAGAACACTATATACAATATGTACCGTGTTGCTCCGACCACAAAGGTAGAACACTATATACAATATGTACCGTGCTGTTCTGACCACAAAAGTAAAACACTCTATACAATATGTATCGTGTTGTTCCGACCACAAAAATAAAACACTATATACAATATGTACCGTGTTATTCTGACCACAAAAGTAAAACACTCTATACCATATGTATCGTGTTGTTCCGACCACAAAAATAAAACACTATATACAATATGTACCGTGTTATTCTGACCACATAGGTAGGGAACTATATACAAGATGTACCGTGCTGTTCTGACCACAAAGTTAGAACACTATATACAATATGTACCTTGTTGTTCTGACCACAAAAGTAAGACACTATATACAATATGTACCGTGTTATTCTGACCACATAGGTAGGGCACTATATACAATATGTACCGTGCTGTTCTGACCACAATGGTGGAACACTATATATAATATGTACCGTGCTGTTCTGACCACAGAGGTGGAACACTATATGCAATATGTACCGTGCTGTTCTGACCACAAAAGTAAAACACTATATACAATATGTACCGTGTTGCTCTGACCACAAATGTAGAACACTATATACAATATGCATCGTGACGTTCTAACGACAGATGTAAGACGATCTACTGGTATACAATTATAGGTAACCTAATTAGAGATAAAGAAGGCCAAAACGAGGAGGTTGTCAAGTGAGAGAAAAAAACGAATATATCATACTAATCAAATGGAAAGAATGAGAAAACCATCAATGCAGCACTTCTTATTATAATGTAATTAAGAAAGGTATACAGAGTAGAATGGATTTTTAATAACATCTTTTCCCCATTCAGTTGAGTTATGCTGTTTTATTGAGTCATAGTGCTATGTTAAAATAAAACATATCGACAAACAACCAAATCAGTTTCCCTATTTCTCATAATTATTTTCTACGCGTTTCAATCTTTACAGGCGTTGATCTCTACCAAAAATGCATCTTACGCGAATCAAATCAGCAAGGCGAAAATGGGCATCATGCTTAAACTCGATGGTAAGTTACAACTATTGTTATTGCAATAATTTAGAGAAGGCAAAAAGGAGACAATCTTTGAGTGGAATAAATTGTGGATTGATTATAATAAATATTTTTGAGATGAAAAGAAATTTAGCAAATCTGACATAACTTACGCAATTTTCACGGGACATGACATGTGTAATGATATAAAGTGTGTTTCATTAGCTTTGATATCGCACCATTATTATTAAGAGTCATGACTTTAGCCATAGATAAAATGTCGAAGTTTGCACTGAAGAATTGAGGGAATGCCTATTATCTGTGTAACTAATCAACATTTAGCATTCCGTCAAATACCTTTTTGAATAAATAGATATAAATAAATCAATAAAAAGATGTTTCATTGCTTATCATAATTAAGAAAGTACGCCCTTCTCTTCTTTGGAAATAATTGTTGTTCAAAAGTATTTCAAAGTTACCGTGGTGAAATCTGTCGGAAAAATTGTGATGGAAATTGAAGTAATACAATTCCATTATAGTTATAAGTATATTTGTATGAAAAGATTAAAAATACTAATGGTTTATATTTATGTCAAGTATCAACGTCGTAGCCTTTTCCCGCCTGCTATTCAGTATACTAAAAGCAGGAATGAAGCCATGTTTACGTCATTGTCATGCATACGCGATTTCACGAGATGTCACGAGAGTAGAATCCAACGAATGGGGACTATGCCATCAACTAAGTCAGTTATAATATTTACACAATAAACGTGTCGAGTGTTGTAAAGTTAAAGCCTTGAAGCTTAATAGTGGTGGACGAACCATTTTTACTCCTTCAGCGCATCCCATCGATGTAAGACATCATCTTGTATACTTTCGCTTTATTGCACTCTCAATCGGCTTCCAGCTTTTTCGTCTGTCTCGCCGATTCTGTCTGCCTAATTAGTCGACCACGTTTTAGCAGGGACGTCTACATTACATCGTAGGTGTCAACGCATGCGTCACATTATATTGAATATGAAATTCTTTACGGCACATAAGCAAATATGATTTGATTCCTTTATGTTTTATATCTCTGACATGTTTCTCATCCTGAGTGTGTTATTGATTGAAAGTTTGCTTTCTAAGTGAAGGAGGAACATAACTAGTGTCATCCAGCCAATAGGAAAAAAGAGCGAATGTTTACGGCACGGTAGCTTTTAGTGGTTTTCCTCTGTCTCACATGTGGAAATGTTGACATGTTCTGTAATACTCGTTAATTCTAAACGCTGTTCAACCGGGAATGTTGATTACTTCATTTTGTTTTTTGAAATGAAGAAAATGGCACTGTATCAAATAGCGGGAGTGCCTCACAGCCTCTAAATCACTAAACATGGTGGGTCGGGGTCTCTGTTTATGACGTCAGATTTTGCATTATTAAGAATTATCTTTTGAATATTTATTTTAAAAGGCAGAGAAAAATTATGTTTTCATTTAAATAATATTTCCTCATTTTGTATTGATAAAATAAAATAAAATGAAATAAAATATCAATTTATTTAGTCAAGGAGACAATGAAGTATGGATTGGCTGCTTCCCAAATCCTGCCAGCACTTGCGGACATGTCTTACCTAGACATCGAAATCCATCCACCTGTTCGTAAGTCTAGGATATGTGTTTTAAAACATGTTGATAACAGGATTGCTTCTGTTTTGTCGTTATTATTAGTAGGTGGGTCCAGTGATAGGTAACAGCAGTTTTCCTACAATACTGTGTCTTTGCTTCACAATTGGGCTGTTACAAAACACCGTTGGGTTTCAAACGAAACGGAAATAGACGATTTTTAGCCATCAGTAAAATTATTTCGATTGTTGAATGTACCATGTGATCCACTTTTGTATTGACCAGCTGATCACGTGGTATTTTTACTTTCGGTTTGGATTAATAAATGGTGATTATTACATATTAGACATACTGATATTTATAGTAAGTAACAAATAGTAATAATAACATCCGGGGTCTAGTGGTCAGTAAAAGTGACATTTCTACCATAATGGACCTCGTCAAATGTGAAGATATTTCTACCATTCTTGATTAACGGCCAATAATAATAATATTCGTAACTTACTGTGTATGATATTCAGTTATTACACTATTCTGCCAAACAAGGGTTAAAAGTTAGTAACTTGAGTAGTCTGTCTATGATCGAGACAGTGGTTTGTTAAATAAATGTACCTATTGTAGAAGGTCTAAGGTCAGGTTTACGTAAACCTATTGTAATATTAAGTGGCTAATTAGGATAATGATAATGTGCCCGATGATCACCAACAGTGGTCGTCCTTCACACTGGGATTTTATGAGACATCTTCCAAGGCATCCGTTGTTATATGACCTTAGCTGTTGAATGGGCGTTAAACCCTGAACAAAACAGACCGTACAGTACTGGGCCGATACACAATGGGAAACTTTTGGGCTAGAGTCTACAACATTAAGTACATGTACAAACCAAATTAAATAATATTTTTGGAGTTATTTCTTTTATGATAACCGTGGTAAGTTTTCGTTATATGATTTATGTAATTGTAGCCGGAAAACAGAACCCATCTACCGAAATGAGGATGCTGAGTATCACAATTACAATGAAGGACTATATCCTGACCAACATCACGAAACAATGGAACGCACACGTGTCCGTTCCAACAAAGCCCACTCTTCTACAGGTTATGACAGCCCTCCAGGACCAACCCTCTTCTACCTTCAGGTGCTCTAGCCATAAACAAAAAACAAAAAAAGTATTCATAAAAAAGTGATCAATTAACACATCATATGACGTGTTTAACACCTACATGTATCTGACACCATACCCGCTAAAGTCCCCTCGCTCTCGGAACACTATATCAAACTGTCTATGGAGGAGGTTTAGAAATGGCTGGTCATTATTTATACCTTACTAAGGAAACATACTAACTGTATATGTCTTTTGCTGTCCTTCATACATTGGTATTTCACGTTAACACATGTATAATACTACAATGATCGTTTACTATTCTTTGGATGTGGTTTATTAGTGAGCGTATGTAAGGATAGACATAACCATAGCTCCTCAGTCCAGGGTCAAAGTCAAATCCGTAATGTGAAGAAAATCTCACTTTTACTTATATAATGTCACCGAAACCTCACTGTCAGTCAAGTCCTATAAATAGTAACACGTTTCTTTGTTCAAACATATCTCTTCATCAAAACGTTATTTTTAATCAAAATGTCATCGGTAATAAAATCCTCATTTATAAAATGATTTTATTTAATCAGCATTATCATCCCAACTTTCACTGTTAACTAAATCCTCATTAACAATCAAAAATATATTGTGAAGTAAACTCCGAACAAATCATCAGTGTTAAGGAAATCATCATTGATGTTAGTTTCTTGTTTTCAATCGAATTCCACATCCTTCTTTTTTTCATCCGTGAGCTGATTTGTTAAGATGTGCGACAAACGACATTGATAATAACCCAAATTGGCACAGCGTAAAAAAACTCCCATTTAAGCTTCATCACACACATGTGTCATGCAAGCTTCATCACACACATGTGTCAGGCAAGCTTCATCACACACATGTGTCAGGCAAGCTTCTGTAACAACATCAACATGTTTGTTCTTGTTGTTATATGTTGTTTGAATAGTTTTATTACATGATAGCGAATAAATAGAACATAAACCAAGAAATAAATAAGCATGTCTCATATAATTGTGTTCAAACGATTCAAATCTAGCGAATGATATTCTGTTTTGTTGACTCTCTAGCTTTGACACTGCTCAAACAAGTTTTGGACCGAGTGTTGTAACGATCGATGGCATAACGAGAAATGAAACCAACATGTACTGGATGATTATGACGGCTCCAGACACAACCCTACAACAAGGTAAGCACCTCCAAAGTTCCGTGCCAGAAAATACAGGCACCGTAGTTCATGATACATCTTGTCTTTTGTCTTTACGACTGCTTCCCCGTGTTTGGAAAACAAATATAGAAAACTTCAAAAGTTTGTTCTATTTTTATTTAAATGTAATGTATCTATCTAGCGAAACTTTGGTTATTCATGTAGACAAAACTGTCTTAAATATTTCACACGCTAATTGAGTGCATGTCATTAAAGCCGTTCATATGAACAGTACAACCATCCCATACAAGTTTCTAGATAACATCAATGATCAAGATATCACAACTTTTGTTTTCATCATTTACGTACCTAAGACACTAGATGACTTTGTTGTGTTATGTGTATTTTATCCTTCAATAGTAATCCTCTATGCTGTTACACTCTGTATTATTGCTATTTCAGGTGTTGCTAAAACCTACCCAGTAGATGGCGATCACTACATCTTCGAGCTCACGTACTTTGGACCTCATTAGAAAAAACATCATGGTTACCTATAACCAGAGCGTATACCGCTGTACCATCTTTTTGGATCTCAAACGTTAGCAGAAAAGGGCGATATGTTAATGTAGGTTGTGCATATTTATTTTGCTATATTGTTTGGGTTTTACTTCGTTCTACTTTACACCTACATCATATATACTGTAATAACCAACCAATACTATTATTTTACTCCAGTCGAGGTAGGTTAAGGTTGGCATGTGAGTAACTAATCCCAACCAGCGCTTTAAATCTGCATGAGCAACTTAGCCTAAAGAGTATAAAGTGTATGCTGTACAAATATGCTTAATTTTAAATATTTAACTTTACTTACGAACTACTCAGTCCCCTCTCCAACTATATCTTATATGTATATGTTAATACAACTTGGAGAAAAAATGGCGAAAGTTTGTAGTACCCCATAATTGGAGTTAATAGACGTTGGTGAACTGTGAACCACGCACTCCCCAATATAAGATACAACGTTGTCGACTTGTAATAAAGAGTGGTCCGCTAGTGCATTGTATATATATCTGAGGGACTATACCGAGCCATAATTCGCATACATAGTGATAATTGTGTAACGGACATATACTTCAATTGATACCATTTTTATTGGAAATTATCATTCATAAATTAAAGTGAAGAACAACGTGCTACTTTCTTTTCCGTGACACTTTTATTCTTTTCTAAAGTTCCGCAGTAGGAAACATGTCTAGGTTACATATATACAAAGTCTTTGCTTTGGATATGATTTCGACTTTAAAATAAATTAAAACAGCTCTGGTTGCAAACTTTGAAGATTGATATAACAATGTTGCATAGATATACATGTATATTATTATGATTTCGCTCAAATCAAGTGAGCTACCTTGCCATAGAATTATCCTTGTCAGTTATCCTACACTTGTATCATAAAAGACATTAAGCGGAGATTACTGTGTGTAAAGAACTTCCGATGAACTGTTTAATGTTTTACAGACTGGGTTAAGTATCCTTAAAACATTGCTAATGTAATGCTTCTGGTGATGTTTTTAGGCGATGCTATCTAGTTCTTTTGTTGAACTTGATATAGCGATGTTTATTTTTACTAGAACGATGGCAGAGATGTTGATTTTCAATCGTCATTATATAATTTCGAAAGAGAAAGCTAGAGCATATAACATTCATACTAAAGCCGTAAAATGGTCTCATTGTATGTCTTAAGCGATTCTGTCACCTCATCAGATCTGTGATTACTATGATATATTCATCTGCTTAATGATTTGACAACTATATTTGTGTTTTCAATCTCTGCGTGAAAAATCATACTTGCATGAAGTACGAAATTTATTTTGAAAACTGTGCTGTTAAACCATGTGTAGCTTATCTCATTTTAACGCGAAAAGATTTATGAAAAAAAATCCTTCGGCATAAGTATATTATGGTGATTGGTGTTACACAAATACCAAGCACAACAATAATTAAAGAAAAGGTTTAATCACAAACGATATATACATTATTTTTTTCTTCAAAATAATCATGTTTGATAATTGACGAAGAGCATCGGAAAAGTTGAATAAAACCAGATAGCTGGTTCTAGTAAAATTATATATTTTCAGTCATTTTAATTTATCAGTCAGTTTGTTTCATATATATAAATATATTTAAGAAATAATCAACATATGTGCGTGCATTATGGTGGAATATATAACGAGGGTGAGAAAATGTTGGTAAAAATAATTAACGAAGGCCGCTTCGGCCTGAGTTAATTATTTTTCCAACATTTTCGAATATGTTGAACAACTGATAGATATAAAACCTTGTGAATTCTTATGTTTGTTATGTATATATAAACCATATATCATTTTATGTACTTGCTTATCGTTTGTATTAAATAAATCAAATTATAGAACGATTCCTTTTTATTTTTTAGATGGTTTATATCAAGATTTGATTCACATGAATAAGTAATAAAACTGAACTCTATTTTTTTGTTCAATACAACGTAATTGAAAAAACTCAAAAAGGGAAAGAACATTTTTTTTTAATGAAAAGTCTTTCATAACATTTTGTAAAATACAATAACATTATTATTACAAGTAATAAGTGTAAGTTATATGTTAAACATATCTCCCCCACACTGTGCAGTCCGCATCTTCCTTGCTCTGCATCCAGATTAGATCATACATTATTGTATCATTGCAAAACATATTTCTGTTAGATAGACAGACAGACAGACAGACTGACAGGAAAAAATGTCTTATCTTTTATTTAACATAAAAAGACAGGAAATTTGGCTAAACAGAACAAAAGTGATATTCTTTTTCAATTAATTGAAAGAATATATATGTATATGTATACATTCAGTATTATGTTTTCTATTTCGCAACAAAACACTTTTCTTTTAAAGAGAATCTGACGCTAAAAAAATACATGTACATTGTATACTGTATTTTCTCTTAATATTTATACACCTCACACCTACGATAAACCCACTCCCTACACTCACCTGGAAACTTTGATGACGTAATGTACAGATGTCGATCGTGCACTTCCGTAAGTAACAGGTAGATTTCAGGTATAAAACGTGGCCGCCTGACAGGTAAGCGGATTACAGTTCTTGGTAACAGAGGACCACGAAAGACTATAATCAGACCTACAGAGAGTGACGTGCAACAGGAACTATGAATGTAGCCAGCGTAGCTTTGTTTGCTGCTCTTGCCATCTGTGGCGATGGTATGTACCGATATAGATAACTGTATCTGTCTTTATATAAGGGTTTTTGTCGATACCTTAGGATCATTATATACTAGTGAAGAAGCTGCGAAATATTGACACTCAACTTAAAACAAAATTCATGCGATTTTTTTTATCTTTAAGATGTTCTCTTCTGAGGTTTTAATCACCTTCATATCTCAATTTGATCTTGGTAACGTTTTTGTAATATTTAGTAAATTATCAACAATTTAATTTTGAAAATGTGTATTTCTTGCACTTCAAGAAAGACCAAACTTTCAATTTTTTGACCCTAAGTTGATCACTTAAATCGTCATAGTGTGACCATTTTATATAAAAGTAAGTTTATTTTTGCTGTACATCTTAATAATGTTCATTATGATGAAATAAGTGGAAAATTATACATTATTGGTATTTGTTTAAAACATATTTACTGAAGCACTTTTGAATTTTTTCTTTTTAACCAGCATATAATAGTGGGACAAAAAAACAGCAAAAACAAAAAACAAATAAAACACGGACCCCCATTTTTGGGGCAATTCTTTTAATCCATGCAATTATCAAAAAATAGTTTAATAGCAGAATTTTTTACATCAAGCGTTAAATCTGCAAAAAATACAGAAACAAGTTCTATTTCTTCATTTAAAAATAAGGGGGAAGAAATAGAATATTTTCCTGCATGTTTTAAGAGTAACTTTATCGCTTTTCTGAGTTAAAAGAATAAGTTTATGAAACTTAACTTCCATAATTCAAAAGAAAATGTTATTTATATCAGTTCTGCAGACTCCCACACATATCTGATAACACACTTGGAAAATGATCAAAAACCCCAAAAATCACAAAGATCACATCTTATTTAAAATTTGTATATTTGACCGATCATAGCACAAAAACGAACACACAGACATAATATTTTTTGGAATTTTCTACTATACCATTAACTCCCTTTTCCAAATTTTTATCTAAGACAAATTTTGACTTCCTTAACTTCATGCAATTATATATAGTCATATATAGCGTTCAAAGTATCTTTGGTATGATTGGTAAGTATATCACAGGCGCAGAGATCAGCTGTGTCCCCATAACCTTTGATTAACAACACTAGATATTTAATTGTGGACATGTCAAAGATGATAATGTACAGTTACGTGAATCAAAAGAGTGGTATTGCTTATAATTTTGAAAACGCAAAGCAAATTCTTTTTTCGTTAATGAAGTGTTCCTGCTAAATTGCGGCAATATGTCACAAATTGTAAGAAAAAAAGGTTGTAGTTAATTTTTAATATCAAGATTTTTTATTTTTTTTATCACAACCACCAACAGCAAATACACACGATTATTTTTAAACTTAACAACGCTCCCCTAAAAACTATGCAAATATAAACAAGAGAGCCGCGGGACTGGTTTCCATTGTCGATTGGGGATACACACATTAAAATGTTTATGAATATTTGCTTGCGGCCAAACAAAACAGTTGCTATTTAGCTTCGAGATCTTCTTTAAACCTATTAAGCCTCCCGGTCAACCGAGCTTACCACGCAGGTGACTTGAAATACTGTAACTATATCTTTCAAGTGCTGATATCATGTGTTAACGAGCGATTTCGAAAGATTGGTGGATTTGATTGATTGAAATAAACATCTGGTATAAAACATGACGTCAGTGTTAATTGTTCAGCGTCTGTCGACCAATTGACGACTGAAAACGAAAAAACCCATTCCCATTAGTCATAGGATAATCAGACGAAACAGGACAACTGCTTGCATGATTAAAACTGATAAAAATGCACAGTTTGTTGTGAAATGCAGATTTTTATGAATTATATGACTAATGTTTGCGAGTGTAAAAGTGCCTTCTAATTTACATGATTAGATAATCTAGGCCATCGTCCTTATCAGAGGTGTATGAACACTGCGGTAGACACGAAAAAGACTTTCATTATATTTTACTTGGTAGAATAGACATAATCAACATATGTTATGTATATTATGATACATTCCATCATACAAAATTTCTTTAATAGATATAGTCTTTAGAAATAAAAATAAAAAGGGGGACTTTAAATGAGAATCAAACCGAAAGACGATAACAGCATAGTGCCTTTCAATACAATTTTTTATTTTTTTTTGGAAAAAAAGGAAGAAAAATGATTATTATCATAATGTTCAAGAAACACTTAATCACACCAGGAACGTATTATTTAAAGATATGACATTTACTTTATATTACTAGACGATATACAGCATAGTGCCTTTCAATACAATTTTTTATTCTTTTTTGGAAAAAAAGAAGAAAAATGATTACTATCATGATGTTCAAGAAACACTTAATCACACCAGGAACGTATTATTTAAAGATATGACATCACTTTATATTACTAGAAGATATACAGCATAGTACCTTTCAATACAATTTTTTATTTTTTGGGGGAAAAAAAGGAAAAGGAAGCATATGCATTGTCAATATCTGCTATTTGATTGAATGTTTCATATATTTCGGGCAATGCAGATACTATTATAAACATACCTATATATAAACTTGACTTTCCTAATCCGAAGATTATACAATAGCTGCCGAATGTAACATAATAACAACTGTTTTTGTGACAGTCGGCATAGTTATAACCATAGCATTGATAGTGTATCCAGTAGTTGTGTGACAACATTGTATAACTGTGTTTGTGACAGTCGGCCTAGTTATAACCATATCATTGAAAGTGTAGCTTGTAGGTATGTGACACCATTGTATTACTGTGTTTGT